GAAGCTTGTCAGGTCAGAGATGTAACTGTTTGAAAGACACAGCTAGTATAAAAAAATACTGAAGTCATATGCTTCAGACAAAAACTAAATATATGTGGCTGCAGTAATGATTAACAGCTGGGCTGGTCATGTCTTCCTTCGTCTTCACTCATTGAATGATGTCTCTTGATGTGTAGTAGTGCGAAATGCATGCAGCCATGTCTCTCGTGTAGAAAAGACAGGATTCGTTAGATTGAACTGGATCATTTTCAGTTTCTTTTATTTTGCATGAATAATTATAGACAACAAACTGTACAGAGCATGACATAGTAGGCATAAACAAATGAACAATGGCTTTTATATTTGTGGTTAAATGCGAGAATAATGCGAGAAAATGCAATGTCATGTTTAGACTGCCTGAGTTGAGAATGTGGAGCTAAAAATACACTAGCATGTGCATAGTTCCCCTCTGTAGCAATACTAGTAAACATGTTTTGTATCAATTCGTGGCAAAAAGATGCTCCTAACATGAGAAGTAGTAAACAAATGACCAAATGTGTGATGATGAAGAGCAGCACCTGTAAATGCCTTTGTGTTCGAGTTCAGTGACATACGTAAGATGAGCATGAAAGTCAGTGTTGGGTAAAGTACACCTAAAAAGTATTTCAAGTAAAGTACAAAGTAAATGAGACATGATGTACTTCAAGTAAAGTAGTAAGTACACTGGCTGCAATGTACTTGAAGTAAAGTACTATAAATACAATGTACTTTAAGTAAAGTAGTAAGTACACTGGCCAGTACTTGAAGTAAAGTACTATAAATACAATGTACTTTAAGTAAAGTACTACATGCTCAGAGAATGTACTTCAAGTAAAGTACAAGTTACCTAAACCTACTTGAAAAAGTACTTTTAAGTACAATGTACTTAAAGTACTTCCCAACACTGATTAAAGTACACGCAAGCTGGTCAGCTATCATGACTGTAGTAACCGTGAGACAAGAATCATGATTACTTTAATCATGATCTACATATTGCTAGTACGTGAATAGGTGTGGAATAAAAGTGTCATGATAAAAGTGCAGTAGAATGTCGAGATTAGCTGCCCACTCTGCATCCTTCTTAATGCCAACAGTGATACTGCCTTTTGGGTTCCAGATCGTGAGGTACCCCTTAGTTCGCTTCGCAAAATACATCTGAGCTTGGAGTTGGTGGTAGTGGTCATGGCCTTTGTTCACAAGCACGCTGCTGCCATCATAACGTAGGCTGTAGTCCTTGGCGTCCTTCAAGTGGCATAGCAACGACCCCTCACGAAATTTCCATGGGCATTTTACTTCAAGAACAGCCTCGTCTCCAACAAGACCATCTGGTGATGCACCTAACAGGCCCGACTCGTGCAGCCAGAGCCCTGTTGGCGTTGGCGTCAGGCTGGTGGCTTCGCTAAATGCCTTGATAGCATCTGGTTCGTGGATGATGCCCCATTGGACAGCTTTTACACCTTCCAGTGAGTATTCGCCAAGTAGGTGACGAAAGAGTGAAGGAGGAAAGCTGTCGTTCTCACATGCCTTGAGGACTTTTCCAAAGTTACTCGCGGTCAGGCGTACCTTTCTCTCCACTTGCCACAGCGGATTTGTGCGTTGTCCAGCTGTAGACTCTGCCAGCTGCTGGATCTCTTCACGTGACTTTGCGGCTTTCTCAACCAGATAGGCGGTTCGGTCGGCTGCCTGGGTGTATTCATCACTAAATATTAGGTCCTCAATAGTGACATGAATGGGCATGTCTGGCTCTCTGGACAACAGCCATGTGTAGCCAACTGTGGCCCCAAGAGCATCCAGGCGACTCCTAATCCAGTCTTTGTCCTCCTCACTAATGGGCCGATTCAGTGAAGCGGAAGTACATGGACTCGGAATCAGAGTCTCGACTGGTCCAACCTGTCTGTCCTTTGAAGTCGTCTTCATGGTCCATGTTCAAGCTCGATCTGTGCAGGAAACATTTGTATGAGCAAAGAGGAGGAGAGCTGCCATGTGATGGCATCGAAGGGAACCTCGAGGGCAGTTGCAGGTGGCCCTGGCCACAGTCTTGGGGTTCGTCATTTCAACCTGAAGAAAAAGATTTTTTTATAAAATTCCCTAGTTCAGCTCTATGTACCTGTCATTAGAATTTCCTGTTTGCAAAATCTTACTCAGCTTCACGAGCATGCTTCTTTGAAGCTTGACAGCGACATATAGCTATATCCCAATTAATTTTTTAAAATGTATTTATATGTTATTTTCTCAATTCGATAGATGAAAACAATTAAGAGGGGTCTTCTAAGTTGTCTAAAGTTCTTATAACTACAATGTATTTTACATTGAACTATATATTTTCGCGGTTTCAACGTAAATCAATGATTACAAGAGGGGTCTTTTTAATTGCGCACAATTAAAAAATCAGCCTTCTACAATGAAATTAACAACACTAAAAAGGGGCCCACTAGTCTACAGTTTTTAAAATTACGATGCATTTTACAGGTTGTACTCGCATCGCGGGTTCGATGGAGATCTTCAACAAAAGATCACATCCACAAAATTTGATGTATACAAAAAAAAAAAAAAGCAAACTAGTGCGAAATTGCGATAGACATGCGATTCTTTAATAACCTGACAACCTTAATAATAATAATAATAAACGACTTACCTCGACGGCGTACGATCTGTTTTTCATGCTGGCCTGCACTACGCCGGTAAAGCACTTAAGATCGTCGTCGTAACTGATTTGCATGACATGGTTGGACTTAACGGCATTTTCACCCCTTTCAACTAAACTCGGTTCTTCACAGAAAAAAAACGCACAATGCGGAGGCCTCTACTGCCATAGCGATGCACTTGTTTTTGCCGCAATAGACGCCCGCTGCAACCGTGTCGTCTGCTACCAAAGCAAAGCGAAGTGTAATACTCCCAAAATGGCTTTCATCGTCGGAATACGACACTGAGACGACAATAACATCTTAATAATTAGATATCAAAAAGTTAGGTTGCTTACAAAAAATTATTTACTTACTCGTAAGCAAACATTTAGCCTCATCTGGAGTCTCCATGCATTGGTCCATAGTAACGTCCCTAGCAACGGTTTGTTTGGACCCAGACGCCATGTTGTGACGTCATCACTTACGGGGTCAATTGTCATTATATCAAAATATTTTACACTTCCCTTTGAATTCTATATATACGGGTTTGAATGTATCACTGTAACGAAGTGGTCATTCACTGCTGTCGCAACACTCTAGCTCCCGCCCCCGGTGTAAGAAGGCTCTTTAGGTGTAGAGACTCCGCTCTCCGCCGCGACCAGATAATGACACCCTGCGCGCTTCACTTCACGGAGCCACCCCTAGATGGCGCCGTAAGTTTCAGGCCATCCGGCAGCGTACCGGGCTACTTGTGCTAGCTGCTTGCTCGGCGTACAGCTTGCTTTCGGTGGCTACGGGTTCGCGTACGATGTGGTATGTAGGTGGGGCCACTATCATCTCTCTCAGCACACTGAAGTTTACATAACCCGAAAAATGGCAGGCGGACAAACAAGAGTAACTCCCTAATACCAGCTGACGCGGGGGTCTACGAGTGAGAAAGAAATATCCCTCTGCTGTAGATAATTTCTAGCCTAGCTTACATTAACGTCGGTAAGCGTTTGTAAAATGAATAAACTCTGAATGCATCGCAGGTAAACGATAACTTGAGTGCGACCGAAAGAAAAAAAAAGAATGCACAAAAATAAAGAATGTTTAACACAAACCTTGTTAGCGGATAATAAACTGAATTGTTTTAAGCTCTGTTCGCGTGACTTTTCTAAAAAAATATACATATTGGGTTCGCAAATTACTGTTAATTCAACTGGACTAATAAAAAAAATTTTTTTTTCAACATGCGGGGCAGCTAACGTGATTATTCTTTTACATATTAAGGCAGCTTTTGAGTCCTGCTAAATTGAACTGCTGACCGAACTGGCACGAAGTTACACATTTTGCACGCAGTTTAACGAGAGCAGCTTTCTTTGAAAGGTTTACTTTGTTAGTACACTTACGTTGGCATGTAGCAGATTGCAACAAAAGTTTATAGTAACCACACTCGTCAAGGAAAACAAACCGGTTGTATTAATGGCACTTCTGATATAAGTATAATAATAATACAATCACAAACTTTTAAAAAAATAAAAAAAAAATTGCTGTAAAAAGAGATGCTGTTCAAACATTGCTTAATGTATGACATACTCTACAGTTGCTTTTGGAGTTCTTTTCCACATTACGAGTCGCACAGTCGGGACTCTTCCTTCTTCTCTCGAGACTGCTTCTTTGCATCTCGGTTTTTTCCTTTGAAGTCCTGTTGCATTCTCATGCGATCCGAACCCTTTTGCACGTTCGACTGAAACCAGAGAAGCGTCTGCCTTCCACGGAGGTGTCTGCATTCCACGAGAACGCCAGACAGAATCCGACCCTGAACAGATGGGCAGTCTGTTGTGTCTGCGTCTACCGCATGCAAGACAATCCCATACTAGTCGCCCTCAATTCGGAGAAGAACAACAACCGAGCATGTGACTGATGCATTCGGCAGACGTCTTTATCCTGATCGTCTCTTTTACTAATATTTTCATGTCATTGTTTTCCCTTTCTAAAATGTTCACGTTTCCCCAGGCTGGAGAGCAGTCGGCGTGTTCATTCAAATGTTTGGCCATTTCCAAGTTCGGATCTTTGGTTTTTTTACATTTCTTTTATGCTCTTTTCACCATTGCAAAAAAAAAAAAAAAAATTTGGAAACAATTAGAGGGGGCGGAAGCAATGGGTGACTTGGCCCACGTTTCGGCAGAGGGCCGGCGACCGGATGGCCTGAACGTTTTGGCGCCCTCTAGGGGCAGGCGGAGAAAACATAGGAAAGGAGGGGAGATGATGTGTTCGCCGATCCGACGGGGCGAGGAGAGGAGTCTCCACACCTAAAGAGCCTTCCTACACCGTGCTCCCGCCTTTGTCCGTGCCCTCCCGACGCAAGGGACTCACGTCTGGCACTCCCTGGCCTGCTGCTGGAGCTTGTGCGAGTGGATCTCCGCCTCCCGCACGTAGGGCACGGCCTTCTCCGTCGCAGGGCTCAGCTTCTCCAGGAACGTCTGCAGTTGGTCCACCATGTCTCGCAGACGGGCAGAGTTCTCACGCAGGCCCTGGGGGCAAAACGGGCCGGGGCGGTCATAATCTGGAGGTGCGTTGCATCGTCAAAGGTGCATTCCATATTCGCCCGCATTTTACTTCACGAAACCGACGGGCACACTATTCTGGCAGGGGCAGTAGTGACACTGAATGCACCTCGTCGCTTCGCGGTGATGTTCAGCGCCATTTTGAGACATGCAATGCCATCTGGGATATTAAGAAGGAACTCTGCTTGAAGTTTCCGTTTCATTTTTTTTTTCTCTTCTGCGAGGGGGCGTTATTTTGCGTGACTTTAAAGTTCCAAGATCGTGAGTGATCGTACAGGCACAGCGTCTTCGCTGCACGCCGACGCCCCTCAGCAACATCACCTGTTTCGTGATTCCGGTGCATATGCAATTAGTTTTCTGGATAAAAGTGGCAGCAGTGAGTCAGAAGATGACTTTCATTGGATCTTAGTTTCAATTGTGGCAGTGGGTCGAACCAGCAGGAATTATCCACAGGTGCCTGTCGGTACGTTTCGTGTTAGCTCGCTGAAGGCATTTCTTGCCTCCGTGAGCTTCTGTGGACACACTGGGTGTGTTCGAAACGCTTTATTTTTCACCTGCAGGGCGTCAACCTTACGTACAATTGGTTTTATGCTGTCAGCAGGAAAACGAGTGGAGTTTTCTCTGAAAAAGCGGCCCGGTCCTGACCTCGGCATCAGGCTACGGAGTAGCATGGAACGAGTTGGGTGGGGCTTTAAGGAATGGTACGGTCGTCACAAGGGCTGCAGAACAAGAGGTTTTGCATGGAAACTTTTCATATTCGCAGGACTTGTTTCTAGAAAAGTAAGCTACAAAATATATGTTTTAATTTTTTTTACTCCTAATACTTTGCAAGGTACATCAAATTAAAATAACTTCTGCATTGGTTACACAAAATTTGACATTACATTTTTTGTGCTACATAATATCTTAATGACCTTTTCGTTTTTGAAAAGAGAATTCCTTTAGCTACATTTTGGTATGCTTTGTACAGAATTATACCTAGTAGGCATATTTGCAGCTAAACAATTTTTCCTTGAGATCACCCCATAACAGCCTCTTTTCCTGTAGTAAGAAAGATTTAAGTTTACTCCACTAGCAAGCATATTATGTAAGATTCTGAGCGCATTTCCCAACACTCCTTGTGAAAGGCCATCGCTTTCAGTAAGGTAGCATGGGTGCTCACCTCATAGGCGTTTTCTGCGTCCGGGTAGTAGTCCTGGCAGGCCCGAAGGAGTTCCCTGGCCTCCTTCTGAAGTGCCTCGGACTGCAACTTGAGCTCCTCGCTTTGGGCAATGATCCCCTGAACCAAGCCACAAAGAATATTCAATTGGAATAATCCGCCAGCACACAGAGCCACCAAAGACGAGGTAACAAAATTCCATGAACTCATTGTAGAGTGACAATAACATACAATTTATCTCAATTGTGTTTCACTTGTCTTACCTATCTTACTAATCCTTTTAACTTGTTTTTGTACATTTTTCTTGTTTTGCCGTTATGTTTAGATATTTGTTACTTTATAATAATAATAATATTCTCTATTTTGGGTGCCCAAAAACAACCAGATCGGTCTTCCCCTTGGTGCACCAACACAAACAGCAAAACCAGCAAACAAACAAAAAATCCTAAACACACATAAAGTTAAGAGACAAATGTAAGATTATCCAAATGGCGACGGTACATTGAACAGCTGCAGATATATCAAGGTGGGGTGGAGCAATGGCGTTATAGAATGACTGAATCCGAGAGAGAGGTGAGGCATTGCACAGTGGGTGAACATAGAAGCAAACAAAATGTCCGGTTAGACGTGAATACAATATATTCTATATTGTACCCTACATAATATCCTCCCTTGGAGAGCCTTAGGGGTATGTTGAATAAATAAATAGATAAGAAGGTTTGAAAGTGCACTACACAACAAGTAACAATGCAGCTAGAAAAAATTGCAAAATACAAAACAAAACAAAAATCACATTATATTACTGGTTACATTAAGGGGGACACTACCCAAAAGAGTTAACTTTTGAACCTTTTGCTTATTATGAATTAAATTTACAGTATATACTGGCAGTTGTGAGGCAGAATGCAGCGCAAAGCTTAATCTGCATACATGAATTGTCAAATAAATTATAGTCGTTTTTATCAGAAACACACTGACTTTGTTTGAGAAAACTATCGTTTGAAAAATAATGTAATACCAAACGTTTTTCTTCAATAGATCTGTAGCAGAATGCCTCAGCGTTGACAAACGTGCCTGCAAGATGCCATTTGTTTAGGCTTTTACTTTAGAACAGTTATTGCTACAGACGCCAGCACATGCAACGCGTGGAACACCATTCCCTGCATTCTCCTCGATGCTTGGGTAATTTAGCAATAGGTCTATTAAGTAGATAAGTTATCAATAGGCACCATTTTCAAGATCAGTAGACTCCCAGGTAGATAATAAAAGTTTCTCGAAGATTTGCCACTGTGCGACCAGCGTCGGCCATGTTTACGCTCGCACTGCCCTCTATTTGTCGTCAAAGTCAAAAAGCCAAATTGGATGTTTAGTGTTTATACAGCGTAAGGTCGCTCTGCCAGGGGGGGGCGACACTAGTTTACACTGTAGATGAGCAATTTTGCCAGTACAGTACGACTGCTAGCCTGGGTCTTTAACGTGCATCACGCAGTAGTGATACACGACCACACACCGGTACGATGCTCATCCAGATCGAAACGGGCAGGGGTGGGGCTCGAACCCTGGCTTCTGCAGCGCGAGCTTTCGCTCTACGCGCGTCAAGCTGGGTGTGCACTGTAGCCCACTCGGCCATTGATTCCCCCCTCTTAGTCGTCGTTCTCAGCTCTTGCCTGCCTAGTTTCCTTTCCTTCCTGTCTCCCGGAGGGGTGGTCCTGTTGTGCATGTCTAGTTTCCTCCAGCTCCTTAGGGCGGGTCTGTTTTGTGTGCTCAACAGCTTCGCAGGTCATGCACCTTCACACAGTGGAGTAACTTATGATTTCCGTGTTTTTTGTCAAATATGATATAGAAAAAAAAAACATTTGCATACAGCAAGCTGGTTTATTAAGCCCCTCAATTAGGATAGCTGCGACAAATATGTCATTTACATGCCCCAGTTAATAAATATAGTTATATCAAAATTAACCGAGCTTAGAAGTGGACAAGCGGAAGGTTGGGAACCATGGGCGCCGACTACAAGGGACCTTGTTACCATGATCAATGCCAACATGAGAAAGAGAGGTCTGTGGAGGGCAACTGCTCTCGGAGCAACGTGATTTTTAATATGGTGCACTGCACGTTAGCATGGAGCAGAGCCTCTGGCTCAGGATGGCAGATGCACTCACCCTGAACGGGGAGCTGTTAGCCGTGTTCTGCAGGTGGGCCACCTCCCGCACCATGTCCTCGACCCTCTGGGTGTGGTTGGCCAGCTCGTAGAGGCGCCCCTCCAGCTCCTCCGCCATCGTCTGCCGCAGGTCCTCCAGGGTTGCGTCGTTCTGCACCGCCGGCAGCGAGAAGTTCTGCGCACGCTCCAGGCCTGCAACGGCACGCAGTGGGCACCTTCAGCAGAGAGTAGAGAGGCACGGATGTCGAGCACTCGGCGACTTATTACAAGGAGGATTAGCCAGGGCCAAGGCCACTCATCCTTCTATAAAAACAAAAGGAAGAGCTAAAAGGAGGGTAAAAAAAAATTGACTGCATCTCCACGTGGTGAATGATGTTGATTGGGGTAAAGCTCTGGTGGTGCTTGTCTGCGCAGATGCTGAGCCGCAGCATGCCGAGCATTTCGTTCCTTTTCATCCAGGTCAGAAAGAGAATGTGTAGTATGGAACGTGGTTATATATGCATTTGAGCATTTGACCGCAGCGCCTTCTCGTCTATTAACGTTGAGCCAATGCATGCAAAGTTTAACGCAATTATATACGCATTTGACCGCAGCGCCCTTTCCTGTATAGACGTTGAGCGGCTACATGCAACCTTTCATCCATGACACCCCCAGCTCTTAAGCTACTACCAGATCTCAGAGCCCCCTACTCGTCCCGCAGTCGTGGCCGAGTGGTTAAGGCAATGGACTAGAAATCCATTGGGGTCTCCCAGCACAGGTTCGAATCCTGTCCACTGCGCAAACTTTTTTTTTTTTTCATTTTTTTTTTTGCACGAGCATGTGAGCACGTGAGCTCACGAGCACGAGCACCAGCAAGATCGATGTGAGCACGGACACCGGACGGACAAGGCTAGACCCTAAGGAGCTTTGCCCCTAAAAGCCATCACTTCAACAAATCTGCAATGATAATATTAAGGCTAGGTTGCAGCAGCATACGAGACATCACAGTTTACACTGGCCTATTGTCTGTCTGAAATTTTATTGCAATTTTATTTTGCTCTTTAAATACTAGATAGCATTATTAAGGTCACCCTTTCTTCGTGTTGGCGCCGTGGATGTAGCCTCGATGGAGAAGAGCGATCAGTCGCCCATCTGTTCTTGGACTGAGGACTTCTCTCGGTAAATGCTCAACAGAAGAAAAGCAGACCAAAAGCAATATGAAAGCTTTTGCTTGCAGCCTTTGTATATCACCAAAATCCTGCAGGAGCGACAACGGCAGGTGCAGCTTGGTGAAAAAAGAGCAGCGAGGGACTCGGCTGCCAAAAGGAGAGTGTTGGACCCAGTAGTGACACAAAGTCAGTCGCTCTTAGTGGCCGCCCGGCAGTTCAAGTGCCAGTTTACATATATACCCCATTTAGTATGGCGATAACGTCCAAGACAGACTGGTTTTAGACGAACGGGAGCAAAAAAGGGGCTTCTAAATGCTACAACGCCTTAGGTAAATGCCAAAGACTGCTATTGAACAAATATTCTAATAGTTGTAATTAACAATACACTATTCAATATCTGCTTCGAGATGAACTGCGATATTCTTGCTTTTACAGCGGACCTGTTAAGGGCTAGTTTCCCCAGGATCGTGTCCACCAGCAAAGAAATGATGACACCGAACTCTGGACACCTGCTGCCATCTATGAGCGATGGCGGCAACCACACAACTGCTTGCCGCCGTCGCTCGTAGATGGCAGCAACCTTTTTTTCGGAGGAAGAAAAGTGGGAGTGGAACGAGCGGCGATGTGCGCAACAGCGTGAATGGTTTCGCAATTGCTGCGAAGCCGCTATCACCCAAAGTTCCACCGCGTCGAACGGCTCAGATTCCCTTGGAATAGAAGAGCAGATTGCTCGCCTGGAAAGACATCACCGAGAACAGAAGCTACAGCTCCGCTGCTCTTCCTTCTTTACTAAAGTGGAAAGGCTGAACGTTTTTTTTTTAGTGCGGAAGCATTAACTGTCCCATGGAGCGAGCCGATGTCATCAGCCGTGCGAAATGGCAGATAAATTCGTGAAGCCACGATTTGAGGCATCCCAGCTTTGAAGCCGCATAAAACGCCACACAAAACGGCCAATAAATGAGGCCGCCGCGCGTCAGTTTCAATTAGCACCAATCCATGGCGCTGCCTGCCCGCATCTCCAGCGCACTAATAAATGGAATCGGCTGGCGCGCTCGGGTGGCGGCACGGCTGCCGGAGCATGCCGGCCGATTCCTGCAGCTGATTCTGTGCCACTGCGGCACGGCCGGTGTCAGCGAGGCGCGGCAACTTCACGAGGACGTGTGCAAGAACGACATTCATACTTTCGCATTCACAACTCATAAGAAGCCTTTTTTGTTGCCAAATTGGAACTTGGAAAAATAATATTTGCATATAGCAAGCCGACTTTTAACACCCCTCGATTAGGATAGCTGTGACAATTTTGTCGTTTACATGACATAGTTAATAAACATAGCTATAATAAAATTAACCGAGCTTAGATGCGGACAAGTGGAAGGTTAGGAACAACCTGCATGAGTTGAGCTGGAGTTTTCTTTAAACGCATGGCACACGGTAGTGGAAGGCTTCGAGAAACTATTCGATATTCGATTTAAAAATATTCGGTCAAAATCGCCATTCGCTTCGAAATGGCTTCCAACTCAAGATTCACTCTTCGCACAGGGTTACTAAAGAGACAGCCAATTTTTAACTCGGCCAATTGTCTACCACATGCTAAGACGACAAAAATAGCAGGTGCCACATCTTTGCAGTAGATTTGGAGCCATCTTAAATCGCCGGCGCGGTTTTCGAAGCGCGTGTCCGGTTGGCCGACGGAGGCAACCTTAGTGCCATTAGAACCAAAGCAATGGATCGATCCATCGCGGCGGCGGAGAAGTGAACGAAACACCCACCTTCTCTGGCCTGCCCCAGCTCTTCCTCTGCTTCGGCGAAGGGCCTCATGAACTCGGTGGCATTGAGAAGCTCCACGATGCGGGTGGCTTCGTCGAGCAGCGGCTCCACGTTGGCGGTAGAAGTCGAGCCCAGGCCCTCGGAGAAGGCTGTTAGGCTGCTCAGAATGTCTAAAGAGACGGGGCCAAGAGTCAATGTGAGGCAGAATGGAGCAGCTAGAAGAGCTATGCTTCACACTTTTGGGGGTTTATTTTTCTTAGTTTGGGGCTGTTTTCTCTGGGTTTATTTTTCTTCTTGGATTCAGTGTTTTTCATAGTAAATTTTGGATGTCAGGCAAAAAATCTGCACTTATGGGTGCTTAAGTTAAAAAAATAAGACATGGACGTCGAATTCCTCGCTCCTCAACGAAACAAACGCGTGATGCAAATACTTGTAAAACATCCTAGTACCGATGAGAAGATGAAAGGAGAAAACTGGCATGGCACAGTTCTTGACGAAAGCAGCTGCAATGAGGGTCAGTTCGGGGGGCTGTCCCGGGTCAGTACAGAATAAAGCTGTACATAAGGCTCTTCTTTCTCCAAAGCTTACTGGAATTCTCTCATCCAAGGACAGCTCCAATTAGGGTTTCTTTGGTGTTTCCTTCAATTTTTAGTGCAAAACATTCTTTGGCTAGGAGCTCTGCATTTCGTGAAGCCCAAAAGTAAAACCTGGATCAAAGTGTGGCTGTAAGGCTTGACACTGATTCGTTTTGAGCGGGGGGAAGAGGCCATCGGCAGTAAAAGTGCGTTTGCACTTAGTGAAAATCGCACCCAGACCATTAAGATTTATTAAGTGGGCGTTTTTCCAGCATGTCACAACACGTCGGCGTAAGTAGAGCTGCTATTTGGAAGAAAAGCCCTGCAGGGCGTCCACTCTGCGTCTGGCAGATGTCAACTGGACACCCTGTCACACCTTTTGAAAACCCGGGTCAGCGCCAGGAATCGAGTGCACATGCCACGCATTAAGCCAGCTCACAAAAACTAACGCACAAAAAGAGAGCATAGATGCCACACGTTTAACATGCAACACAATTGCCCAGTTTTTCACAATGTTTCAGTCGTCATCGAAAACATCGAGCCCTACTTACGACACACATTATCTGAAATTTCAGGAAATACGCCGTATCCAAAGTGCGAAAAGCCGCATTTTCAAATCGTAATGGCCGCCCATTGCACCCGCTCTGCACAGGCAACAAAATGGCAATGCCCGCAAGACAATCGGGGGAATACAGTGCCGATACGCCAAGCGTAGCTTACTCAGTGGGTCTAGTGAGGAAGACACAAATCCAACGAGGGAAAGAAGGAAGCGGTTGTCAAGATTAAAAAGACACCTGTCTGACCCTTAAATCTCACCAGCCGCTTTCCTTTCTACCCTCGTCCACGCTGGCTTCCTCGTTCGTCGGCCGTCGTGACACGTCGTCAACTACTTCGACGGAAGCAGCCGAGCTTTAAATTAAAACGCACAAAACGGTACCTCGCATCTCCTGGACCGTCTTCTCCACGTTCAGGGGTGGAAGCGGGCTAGAGCCTTTTGTATCAGGGCTGGGAGCAGCAAAAGTCCCACTTTGGAGCAGTTTTGGAGCAGTAAAAGGCTCGCTTTAGAGCAGCTCGGGAGCAGCAAAAATAAGTTTTGTAGCCGTAGAAGTAGGTTTTGGGGCAGGTCACGGAGGTCAAACAAATGTCTAAAAGTGATTTGTTGTTTCTAAATGTGAAAATGTAGCAAAAATATATGCATGCACATCCCAGAATAATTTTCAAGCAACATACATACACACCTTTCTATTTCTATTGCATTGAAATATGGAATATTGGCAATTTATGCAAATGAAAGGCTTTGAGAACCATTCCGGCAGCAGGCAGAGTCATGATAGACTGTATATGGGAGGCCCCGACAATAAAAGCCTAGCTTGAGCCACGCCAGTACAAAACCGTCTACTTAATAGACCAATTGTAAACATGTATCCAGAAAACTAAACCACTGCAAGGTGTCAGATAAACTACCTTCGCTGACTACAGTTTTTGTTTAATAAAAAATACACATGTTCTATCACTACTTAAAAAGCCCTATATCAAGTTTAGTAACAAAATACAAGGCTACTGACATTTGACAAAAATTCAGATGCAAAATAAAATGTGTATTTTATATCTTTAGACTACCACAGTCACTCTTACATATGCAGCTTTAAGCATCGACTAGAAGAGCAACGCAACCTTATGTACTCCATAAAATGCTGTGCATTGCGTGTCTCCATAAAAA